AGTTTTTTCGATATTTTATTTTTTTTCTTTCTGTATCTTGGATTTAGACACTCATGATGTCTTTGATACTCAAAGTATATATTTGCTTGTTGAGTACTTAACATAATAATCTTCTTTCTTTGATTCCCATTGGTAGACACCAACCGATTTTGACTTCACCTTATATTGACTTTACCCAATTGTGACCCTTACCGAAATTGACCCTTTTAGAAAAGGCGTGTGATACGCGTAGATATCAATTTATCCAAAATGGAACATGATTAGAAAGAAAAATACATATGGTCCACGTTTACATTATCATAGTTTTGGACAATCACTTAGGGTTTTCTCTGATCTCCTCGATCAAACCTCTGCAACGGGGGGGTAAGAATACCGTTGCCAGGGCACATTACCACCTGGTGGGTAAGAGTCCCACAAGTGGCCACGTTTTGAAGGCACATGCAACTTTTGGAGAAGTTTTTTTCCAAGTATTAAATACTTCACATTTCTGATAGACATTTTTGTGCTTACTAATTACCCATTGATTTACTAAGTGATGATTGATGAATCATCTACTCTTTCAGGGAGATCAAGGTGAAATACCTTTCTTGTGTTATAATGATAGAGAAACCCAACTCTTATATAGAGTCACAGTGGAAAGTCTCTAGTTCCATGAACTTGTATATTTGTAATATAATTTGTAATACAATGTAATATAACTGTAGTATTAAGAAATCCGAAACAATGGTCACACTCAATACCAAGGTCTTGTATGACCTTACCTAATACTTATCACTAGTATATTCACGTACGAATATTGAATTGAATTTTTTCGTAAATTAAAAAAAATTAAAAAATAAAAAAATAAAAAAAATAAAAAAAAATTAAAAAAAGTTTCCTGAAGAAGGATTTCTTTTTGTTTGTTGAGGAGAAATGGAAGTTATATTAGTAATTCTTCGATGTCATGTTTCCCGTTTTCACTTGCATCGTTAGCAATTTTTTTTTTGCTAACGACGATAGTCCGAGGCGTTCGACTTGCGGCTCGCCTTCGGACCCCTTTTTCTAAAGGGTATATTGCATTCTTGCGAATTTGGTTACAAACCTATATTTTTTGTCTGTAGGGACCATGAATGTTGGGATTAGTTTTGGTTGGGCTGGCAAGAGGTGTAATCCGTGGTTCACGCAAGGCCCCAGGGATGCACGCTCCCCAGTACCGCTCTTTCAACGTGACTGAGTAGTCATTGAGACGACCAACCCCAGCGGACGTGGAACACTCCCGAAGCTTTTTTGTTCTTTTTGTTCGGCGTTGAGCTGTTTCAGGGTGGTGAAACCTATATTTCACTAGGATTTACTTGGGAATCCTTGGATATAACCTAAACACAAAATTTAACCTTTTACATTTTTCGGCTACCATTTTTACAGTGCTTAGCACTTTTAAATTTTTTAGTTCAGTGTACCGCGGAGTACCGGGTACCCACTGACTTATATTGCGGATGTCAGTTAAATTCTGATTTTGTCTCCTATATTCAGGATAGTTTTGCGGTCTCTTAGAAAATTGTCATGTGCCATAACAATTTTTTTCTCGGAGGGGGGTAGTGTAGCAATTTTAATTAACACTATATTATGCAGTCTATGAAAATTGCTACTAGATATCACTTTTACATATTGATCAGTGACAAACTCTACCATTGGAATAAAACTTGTGCTTATAATTCCTTTAGTCATTTCGAAAACAAACACAACTTATCAATAACAGGGAAATCCTCTATCACCGATCTATAGCAGATTGTCAACATCATTTAAAGAATGTTAATCATACCTTGTGAGTATCAACTGAAAAGGTCACTGCATAAACGTGATCACATAACAATTCTACTCTGTATGAATTGTTGGAAGATGGTATTGTTATCATTCTATAATGTTTCGATTTCTCCTGTTGATATGAATTGGAAAAGGACACTGAGTTTCACATGATGTTTGCTATAAACTTATGTCGCCTGATCACACAGTATTCCAGCCACCTTTTTAATAATTTTCATGTAATTAGATCCATTGTTTTGATCATGATAATTATATTTTGACATTTCAAAATATTGAGGTTAGGACGACAAACAGCTGGTAGGACCATGGTAGGACTTTAGCCACACTATCTACTTCGCTTTTCAAATGGTTGGTCGAATAGGATTCGTAACCAATCGGATATTAATGAGATCAGGTGTGGTAGAATTGAAAAGAATGAATGGATCAGTCGTTCCGTGAGTTCTGATTATTGATGATCTAAGGTGAGGAGTAATTCTATTGACCTTGACAGAATAGATGTAAATAAAGTCAAATTGACAAAAGTCCAAAAAATCCGGAAATTGGGAAATGACGAAATATGACGAAACTGAGAATGATACGCAAAATGATGTGCGCTTTGGTTTAATTTTTACTGCGGAGATAGAGATTGACTGAAGAGAAAGAATGTGGTGATTTTTGTGCTCCAGCCGGCGAAGTGAATTTAACCATGAAGTCTACATTTTTCTGAAGTAATATAGTGGTATACAGTGCTGTTGTTCCTGGTAGATATGGAAAACAGAGTATGACTTCATAACTTTTGTTCAAAGTTGTAAATCTTCGTTCGAGCCGGCACAGTCATTAGATGACCCCATTTTGTATCGTCTCCCATTCTGCTATAACACTAGGATGTTATATCTTTGAGGTATGTTCACCTTTCAAAGTATTTTTAGTCCTCTCTTCAAGAGTAATTTAATTTTACAGAATCTTCACGGTAGTCAGTCTCTATTCTGGAAATAAGGGGGCCACATGGGGCCTAAACCTCTTATCTTATCTTGTTTTACACTCCATCTTAACCTATGCTGCATTTGAGTAGCATCTTGAGGCATTGTTTATGCTCTCATCTTTCATCATGCTCCTATCCTGGGAAAATTTATCATGCTGTTTTGCTGCTTGGAGAAATACCAAGAGCCTATACAACCATAGTTTCAAGTACAGTCTTTGGGCACAGTAATGCTGAGTGATCAGGAACTGCTGTTGGAGGAACAACATTCCAGCTAAGTTGGAAGATAACAGCTAAGTGGTATCTTGCATAGTCTCTTCACCTTTTGTTTATTATGTTGAAGTAATATTTGATATCTGGAATGTCCAGTGATTTCGGTTTTTGGTATAATATGATGATACAATTTTGTTGTGAGGAATCACAGCAGAAAGTCAACGGGTGCATTATTTTCTGAGACCTCCTGTTAGATCCTATGAGACTGTTGTGTAAATACTCATTGTACATATTCATAATACATGTAATAAGTAAGTATCTACCATGTATCTGATGTTCAATGAATGTCACAAATATCAAAAATTCTACAAGTGTTATTTTGATAGGATTTCTAGATGTTAGCTACCTGGTATTTGTGATAGGATATTCATTTAATTTCACCATAATTCTAAGTTAATTAATAACAATGATCATTTTATTGGTGGTTTGTTCCATAACCACAACAGTGCCACATGTAAATTTCATGGCATACTGAATAAAATGTAATATTCAAGAATAATTGGTCCTTTTTAATTATAGATCTCTCTCACCATTCTTAGCTATCATGCAATTCAATTTCAGGGTTTCTGGGTCTATCCCCAGCTATATAAGCTGTTAAAGATTCAGTGGCGCTCATGATCTTCATCATTCCTTTATGAATAGTATTTATGACTTTTATAATGAGTCCATCTCAGTTGTTGAAAACTTAGTGAAAACAACGAATCCATGCCTATTGCCTACTGACATAAGAGCTACCGTTCGCAGTATAGTATATTGTCAAAAATATGCTACAATATATTGACGAGACCGTTACTTATTGGAAATATATTGTAACAAAACAAAACAATTGTAACTGGAAAAATTGTTTTGCTTTCATAGTAGGTTGCAGCTGATATTTTTACGGATATGACAGTACGCCAATGCGTTTTTGTTAAGAGTTTTCAAGTGTAGTAATTTAAAATGCACTCTTTTCATAAATTATTTCTCATCTTATTTTTATTTTCAAATAAAAATATGAAAACATTAGGTACCCAATGTTCAACCTTCATGATAAAAATAGATACGAGATTTGAAACGGAATAAATTCAAAAACATTCATGTTCTTCAACTTTTCATAAATCTTCCCACAATGATATAAATATAAAATAGAAGCATAGAGTGAATTAAATGAACATAAAAGCAAACACCGTCAACAAAATTCTTCACAAGAATCCATTGAGGAGATTATTCTATCATTAAGAACACCAGGAAGGTACAAGGTGTCCCCCCTAAATGTTCGTCCAGTCAAAAACGTTTCTGGAATATTTATTATCAATTTTTGGAATCATTTTTTTTTTTACGTGAATATCACTGAATCGATTTCAATTAGATTCCGAAAGTATGTTTGTAACCACAAGAAGCACTGAAATGTGCAACAAAATATATGGCAGGCCATTTGAAAAAGTATGTAATTATGACGTCACACTTTTTTGGGACTCTGTATAATCGAAAATATTCTCCTGGTATGCGCCCTATGAGACCGTTGAAGTCTGCAAATATCAAAATCTTCAATCAACTAATAACTGAGCTATAGCAGAAGGGAGGTGAGGTGCAGGCCCCTGTATAATAAATTTAAAATACGCTTACTATATTTAAAAAAAAATCTGTTTTAATTCCACTCATCACTTTTGAGCGTTGATGGACCTCTACCGACGTTAGAAATCAATACAAAAACATCAATTGTTTATTTACTGACCAATTAGACCCCAACAAATCTCCATTGTTGAATCTATTTTCATATTAACTATTGCATAAAACCTTTTCAAGTTTACTCCCTCGGATACAGGATTTCAATGTAGACTATATACTTTCCGAAACTCAATATAAGTTAACCTGGATACAGCTTATGTTATGCAAGTTAGTGTCCCCTGAATAAGCTACGGTGTTAGCGAAACATGTGATTATTTGGGAATTTTTTAAATAAAACTTTGAATATGCGAAGATGTCTTACCTTCCACTGCCAAATTCAGATGTTCATAGCACAACTTGGCTGCCAAAAGACAGTTGCTGGGGTCATTTTTTTCCAGCCGAATAACTTCTTTCAGTACTGCCAAGGCATGTTCGTATCTGTTGATAGCAAGAAGACTAAGTGCATGCTGCTTCCAGAGGTGGGATTCTTCAAAAGTAAATTTCAGTGCTCGCTCTAGTGACTGAAAATATGAATTGTTTTGTTCCTTGAATTTCGATTTAGGCGCTAGGATGAAAGTTCATGTATTATTAAAATTATTATATATTTCATCTTTGCTCCAATGAAATGACTGACTATACATTATTGGAAAATATGGAAGTCCTGAAAATATATATACATGTTTCACTTCCGCCAGCTTCATAGTTTCTTTTTTGTTCCAAAATTACAGTACGAATGGATTATTGACTCATTTCATCTCGAGGTGAAAATAACATGAAATATAGACCGAGAGGTGAGTGTAAAAGAATTGCAACAGTTTTCTAAAGGCTGCAATTTCGATATTATGTAGTATTTAGGGTGTCCTGCAATAGCCTGCCGTCAGTCAGCCAGTTTAGTTAGCAATTAGGCAGGAGCGGCTTCAAAGTTGTTAAAAACCATGTATGTCACAACAGTTTTCTAAAATCTAAAAATTGGTTTCTGAATGTGAATTAACTAATGTGGATACCGTCAGTCTTCAAAATATCGTAACAGGACGCGTCAGCAGAGCGTCAAAGTAAAAAAAGTATTGTTGATGGTTTTCTAAAATGTTAAATTAGGTATACAAGTTTTTTTCTGCAACCGACACAAAAGTTGTCGATTTTGATACCAAAATTAGCTCTTAAATTGACGTTTCTATTACTGACACAAAAATAGGTATGTTGCTAGGCAACATATTTAGTTCCTAGGAGCTAAAGTTGAACTTTAGTTCCTAGGAGCTGAAGTTGAACTAAAAAGGATGTACTAGGCGTCATCAGGAATAAACAACATTGTTATGGTTGGTTATCTGGGTTTTGAGACGCATACCTGATTTGTTTCCGATTTCGGCAGATTTGGCATTTCATATACCCATGCTGGAGATATAAATACACTTTATTATAGTTGATTATTGGAATCATGAACATCTCAGTTAAGTAGTTTTGTTTTGATCAGGGAAGCCTTCAAGATTCAAATACTTGTTTGATATGTATTTCATTCGTTATTCTCGGGATAAATAACTTGTTTTTGAATAATCACGGCAAACAATAGTTTTTTTGTCTCAAACAACGATATTGTTCGCCTCCATTTGATTATCAAGTCAAACACAGTGTAGTATGGAGAGGAATAAATAATCGCTATTATTATTGTTGATATGCTCACTAAGCTAACTATTTCTATTTCTTGTTTCTATAGCTGGCACCGGCGCGGTATTTGCCACTGGAACACCTGGTCAATACACAAATATGTCACTCTGTGGTTGTATTTATATTGAAACTACAATTCGAACATCCTTGAAAATTCAATAAACCTGCTGTTAATGCAGGTAGAATATTCTCACCACATGGATTATTTGACAAAATTGGTTCCATTGCATACATATGGTACGGCATGGGTGGTTACTTTACATATTTATATGAGTTTATTGTTTCGGTTGCAGAAAAAATAGCATGTTTCATCCGGATCAAAAGTGACTTTGTTTGACTCGCAAATTTTGCTTTCGCTCGGCTTCGCTGCTCCGCCTCGCAAAAGCAAAATTTGCTTATCAAATAAAGTGTCACTTTTGATCCTAATAAAACAAACTACTATTTTTTATGTTCTGGTTCCCACGAAGTTGTAAATAATAGGAAACATCATAGTCAGCCTGAATTTTTATTCAAAATACATCGTCAGCAGTCGATAGAACAGCGCGCCGCTATATTCTTTTTCCTCCGATTGGCAGCAAATATTAATTTTGCTGACACATATCAGTCAGCAAAGTATTACTTTTCCTGCCTAGGCAGCAAAGTGGGTACTTTGCTGATTGATATGTATCAGCAAAATTAAAAATCCATAAATCGTTTATAATTTCCTTCATATTTCATCCGAGACTTCTCCGGCAACAAATTCAACTCTATATTTTTCGCCACCTCCCTTATTAATGGAGGTGTAAGTATACTTCCAGGTCGCTTTCACTGTCCATTATATAATAATTCAAATATACCGATATTTTTTCGCACAATTTCATGAATTGTCAAACCAACAACTGCGATTTCTATCAAATTTTATTTTAATTGAACACTATTCAGGAAGAATAAAGAGATTGTGGAAATTGTATTAATTCGCAAATACAATATTCTCCCATATCATCATGAACAATCGGAGAAAAAATTATATGTTCAACTCGGCAGCAAAGTAGATTGACTGCCGAGGCTGAATTCATAGCCGAGCGTAGCGAGGCTAGGAATCCAGCTAACTACTTTGCTGCCTAGTTAAACAAATAACTATTTTTTAATCGACTCGGCCGTTACTTGATGGCAATCTATAGCAAAAATGAAAACTTCACAAACGATTAGATTTCCACAAAATTCTCAATCACGCGACATGTTTCGCTAACACAGTAGCTTCATCAGGTGAAATACTGGTACAATGTATTTCACCTGATGAAGCTACTGTGTTAGTGGAACATGTCATGTGATTAAGAATTTTGTGGAAATCTCATCGTTTGTGAAGTTTTAACAGAATTTATTCTGTTCTTCGAACGTCAAAGAATGTTGTCATTTCTTACCTCTAATCAATATCGGAAGTAAATTTACATTATTCATTTTGTTAATTCAAATCAATCGAATCTGAAGGAGAATGCAGATTCCGAAAATATTTTTTATGAAATTTTACCCCCAAAAAATTCATGTCATATTACTTTGTGCCACTGTGAGATGGAACAAATTCAAAAATACGCCCATTTAGAGTATCATATTGAATCGCATTTTATAACTCATTCACTTACTTCTTGTAAGAGACTTATTTGTCCCCATCGCACTGTAGCCACTGTCAAGAGATCGTATACCATAACTGCATCTTGATATGCACTCAATCTAATATCTCGGAACTCCGGAGATTGAGACAGGACTGTGTTACGTACGGCCATCGATTCGGCTACTAGCAGTAATAGTATAGTTTCTTCACATTGATTTCTTGGAATGAACTTAAAACATTAAACATCATTCGAATTATGATCTACATAGTTATTTTATCGCTATTTAGTGGCCTCAGGTTGGGTAATACTGGAAATAAGTAAATGGTGTGCGTACTCGGCCAATTTAACATATTGAAAACTTAAGAAAAATCACTCGACCGCTTACTATGATTTCTCTAAGTCACATCGAGCGAGACGTTAAATCTACGTTTTTCCCCTAGACGGTAATGCTGCTATTGCTGCTGTGACGAGTGTCACGGGTGCAACAAAAAAGCTAAATTGCATGTTATTCTCGGGGTGAAGATTTATTTATTTATTCATTTATTTCAGTTATTGCATTACATTCTTTTCTTCATTGATACATTTCATACAAATAATATATAAAGTATAATTAATTTTCTAGTAGGAATGACATGAATGATCAGACAGTAATTCCTGGTATAAGATCATTCATGAAGTATTATCGACTGTTGTATAATTGAAATTACAAATAGTGAACAAAACTTACATATCATTAAGATACAGTCATATTATAGTGAACGAGAAGAGGAAAAATAAAAACAGTGAAAAAAAAAAGAAAAAAGGAAATTCATGGTCTTTCAGCTTTGATCATTCCTTTGCATATAAATATATTTCTCAACTTTATTTTTGAATTGCATAATATTTGGGCTGTTTTTGATATCATCTGGTAATTTATTGAATTTCGAAATCGCGGAACATATGTAAAAGTGGGTTTATTTTACTCGGATTCGAAAAAACTGCGGCAATTTCAGAATTGACAGATGTCATTATTGTGCAATGTCGCCATCTATTAGAAGATCCGCCGAAACCATTGTTCACGAGAGGTCGAGTATTAGTGAGTACACCATCTACTCATTTCCATCATTGGTAGGGTCTCTGACCGCGCCATGCAGAGCCGTGGTGAACCAGCAACACTGCCCGAAAATCCAAATCCCTCGCCTGTTATAATGCACATACACGATTTACGACATGTGAATGCAATGAAGTGATTTTTTTTTACTTTTCAAAAGAGAGTTGATGTGTTATTAATGTGAAATACCATTGACCAGTTATTTTAATAATGTCATCATCCTAATTGTATGTGGAGTCGTTCTCATATACAGAGAAGAAATGGTCTGCAAATTCAGCCGATATAATTTTGCTATCTGTTATTTCTCGATCAGTGATTATGAACTCATTTTCGTTGTTTTACTTATTTGCTGTCTATTCGTTATGAGAGTCCAGAAAAGTGTAGTATCGTTTTTAACATTGGTTTGAATATTTTCGATATATTTTTATGGACTTCTTTGATTTTAATTTTTAATTAGGGTCTTATTCTTTCCAAGTTATCATGGTAGTGTTGAGATATATTTTTCCTCTTCATGTAATATTGTTGTTTTGAGATCAGCTTTGATTTCTGCTGGGAGTAAGGGGGGTGAGTTTTGCAGTGTTTTGGATTTTCAGGAAATGTTGGTATTGATATATCGAGAACATTGCGAAAAACTTCATAAAAGTATTCTACACAGTCATTGACATCACGGAATGTATTAAGCGCCGAGCAGTCGTAATATCTAATTAGCCTTCTTGAAATTGTATTTGTTTCTCAGGTTTTTTTCAGATTGCATATTATAATTGTTTTTTTCAATTCCACAATCCAACAGTTGTGCTGGATGATGGTTTCCATCTATTTTGTCTAACGGTGATAAATCTCCCTGTATATTTATTTCAAAATTACTCAATAGCAGGTCCAAGGTCCTATTGTTGTGAGTTTTCAGGATGTGTGAGTCGATCATTGCTAGCATAATAGCGACGGGGAAACAACTACCTAAAATGTGAACACCATATTTAAATATCTGGCAATTAAAAAGTAATTAAAATACTTAAAACTGGTACTTAAGGTTCTGTCAACAGGTTCTTAAATATTAAAGTACTTAAAACGAGACTTAGAACTCATTATACAGGGTGTAAATTTGAAAACTTTCAATGCGAATATCTCGCGAAATAAAAAAGTTAAAAAAACGCCGCTTGGCAAAGATGCTAAAGAGTTAAGGGGAACTAGAACCACCATATTTCAGTGAAGGGATGAGTCACCCTGTCAGCGCAACACACCCCAACTTTGAAATGTCAAATGGCACTACCTCTTTTGTGATACCTCAAATGAACGGTCTCAGTCAGTAGTATTCACCTGTACAAGACTTTTTATCCACCCACTACAGGGTGTACGAAAAACATTGATTCGAGGGGTCTAAATTTGAAAACTTTCAATGCGAATATCTCGCTAAATAAAACAGTTAGGAAAACGCCGCTTGGCAAAAATGCTAAAGAGTTAAGGGGAACTAGAACCACCATACTTCAGTAAAGGGATGAGTCACCCCGTCGGCGCAACACACTCCATCTTTCAAATGTCAAATGGCACTACCTCTTTTGTGATACCTCAAATGAACGGTTTCAGTCAGTAGTATTTACCTGTACAAGACTTATTTTCCACCCACTACAGGGTGAACGGAAAACATAAAGTCGAATAAAATAAAATGCAGAATGCCGATATATTCCAAGAGATGTGTTCCAAAATGTTAGAATGGCATTTGAACATCGATTATACTATTGCTTACAACAGAATGGAATGCATTTTGAACATCTGATAAAATAAAATATCCTTTTAACACAATTCATTTTATTTTATTCGACTTTATATTTTTCGTACACCCTGTAGTGGGTGGAAAAAAAGTCTTGTACAGGTGAATACTACTGACAGAGACTGTTCATTTGAGGCATCACAAATAAGGTAGTGCCATTTGACATTTCAAAGTTGGGGTGTGTCGCGCCGACGGGGTGACTCATCCCTTGACCGAAATATGGTGGTTCTAGTTCCCCTTAACTCTTTAGCATTTTCACGAAACGGCGTTTTTCTAACTTTTTTCTTTCGCGAGATATTCGAATTGGAAGTTTTCAAATATACACCCTGTATATGTACTTAATGTATTAAAAATGATACTTGAAGTACATAAAATTTCATGGTATACACCTATTTAAAGAGTTGTTTCCCCCTTGCATAATAATACTGATTGTCAAATTTGAATTAGATACCATTTATTTCTGAAATATTGTAAATAATGAATATGTTTCCCTTCAGAAGTATACCTGATTCAATGATGCATAATACTTTGGTTTCCAAACCGAACTTTTCATCGTAGAATTCAATGGGGGTTTATACTTCTCTCCCACCAAACCTTGTAAAAGTAACTCGGCCATTTGACACAAGAATTTCAGTCGAATATTCTGAACACCATGCGATTCGATCGCACAAAGAGAATTTCTGTATCTCTCTAATGCCGCTTCGGCCTTGTCGTTTTGGAGGAAAATTATGGGGGCTAATTGAATAGCTTGTTCTAAGACCTCTCCAAGGGATTTATGGGCTGCATGGGGTTGAGGTGAATGACTTCCTACAAACGATGAAAATAAATTAGATTGATTCTGCTGCCACCTGACTCCTCATGCGCTCAACCAAATCTTTAGGCGATGAAACAATAAGCTAGTACACTAACAAAAAACGCACGGGGGTTTCAAGTTGATATTTTATAATGTTAACAATTTTTTCAGGTATTCAAACATAATTTCATCGAGAATATCAACTTATAATACAATACCAAAATTACCTTACAGTTAAGAATAAAGCATATGATGGGGACACACTAGTGATAGCGCGTTATTAATGTTTCCAGAGTCAACCGGTCCACTAGTGACCCACAAAGATGAAAATACTTTTCGAAAATTGATTCCCAAATGGCTGAAGAATTATTTTTTTTTGATTTGGATGTATGATAAATTGATATTCATCATACAGGACGTGGAAAGGAATTCTGAATTGAGAAAACCTAATCACGAATCTGCGATTGAGGTCTATAAAAATAACAAGTTTTCATCGTTCAAGTTTGAACCCCTTGATTGGGTGGAAGTATTGAATAGGAATATTCTCAGATGTAACTATGAAAACAAAAAAAAGGAAATTCTGAATTGAGAAAACCTAATCACGAATCTGCGATTGAGGTCAATAAAATTAACAAATTTTTATCGTTCAAGTTTGGACCCCTTGATTGGGTGAAAGTATTGAAAGGGAATATTCTCAGATGTAATTATGAACACAAAAAAATGAATATATATATACAGTGTGTCCCACTTACCATGCTCACCATGGGTATCTTTTTAACGGTGAGAGATACGAGGTCGGTTAAATGACACCAAATGTGGAGTTTGTCAGGGCCAACTATAATGTGAAAAAATATTTTGATAAAATCTATTCGCTTTTGTTTTATACGCAAAAAACTGATTTTGATCATTTTTATGTCTCCTCCGTAACTTCTTTATTTATGGAAATATTCAAATAGGAATTTCACATTCTTATGGCAGTTTTTCAAAGTGATTTCGAAAAAAATATGAAATTTATACCAACTCTTCTAGAATTTGAGATATCAGCACCAACTTTAGTTTTTCAAATGTAGGTCATAGCTCACTATGACTTAGTTACAAATAACTTTTTTTTCTCTTGATAACAACGGAGTTATCGTCATTTATACAAGAAGAAAAAATATTTGTAACTAAGTCATAGTGAGCTATGACCTACATTTGAAAAACTAAAGTTGGTGCTGATATCTCAAATTCTAGAAGAGTTGGTATAAATTTCATATTTTTTTCGAAATCACTCTGAAAAACTGCCATTAGAATGTGAAATTACTATTTGAATATTTTCATAAATAAAGAAGTTACGGAGGAGACATGAAAATGATCGAAATCTGTTTTTTGCGTATAAAACAAAAACGAATAGATTTTATCAAAATATTTTTTCTCATTATAGTTGGCCTTGACAAACTCCACATTTGGTGTCATTTAACCGACCTCGTATCTCTCACCGTTTAAAAGATACCCATGGTGAGCATGGTAAGTGGGACACACTGTCTATAGAGAAATACATTGAGAATTCGCATTCTCCATGTGATAAAAATATTAATTCTTTCTCGGTATATTCAACAGAAAACAACTACTTTCCTGGCTATATGCCACGACGAACATTGATTCTATTGAACACACATGATGAGAATTTGCATTCTCCTTCATATAAAGATATGCACATACTATCATTCTGAATATTCAACAGAAAACAACTACTTTCCTGGCTATTTGCCACGTCGAACATCGACGACACAATCTTATGTATATTTAAATGAAACACTGTGTATTTTATTATAACGTTGAATTCATATTTTTTTCCTTTAAAATGATGTAAAATACTTCATATATAGGATGTCCATAAATGCTGAAAACACTAAAACAAAAAATTATGAAGATGTTTTCCTAGAGGGCCATAGATTTTTCAAAGTTTACGGTGATGAAAATGAAGGTGGGTATTTGGTATAAAATTTTTAGATGAACCTTTCCTTGGAAAAGTTACACCCCGAAGATCAACAAAAAAAAAAGAATTTTTTTTATTCTCCCTGTAGATTAAGTTAGACACGAAACTTGGAATTTATCAATAAAACTACACATTTTGAAATTTTTCTTTCAATAGAACGTGGCTGAAAAGCCCAATTTATTTACTAACTTTTATATCTCTAAAGAAAGAAGTTGTAAGACAAAATATCTTAGGGGTTGAATATTTCAACACCTTCTAAGCATACTTCAGGATTGAAAACATCACAAAATATGTAGATTCATTGACAAATGATATTCACCAAGTTTCGTGTCTTCAGCTTGATATACAGGGGAAATTAAACAGAAAAACCTTTTTTTATTTTCAGAAGGGTGTACATTTTCCGTGGAGAGGTTTTTCAATAAATTTTATACCAAACACCCGCCTTAATTTACAGAATCAATCACCCCTTGAATTTTTTGGGTGTTATTCAGATACACCCTGTATAAATTATCAAAATTGGATATGAGGCCATCTCAGATTTTTTCTTTGAAAGTAATGGCGGACATTCAAAATGGCGGCTTCAGAAAATTTGTTTAGTGCTGCCTTTAAATGTTCTCAGATGATGTTGAATGATATATAGTTCAATAGAGGCAAGTAATTGTTGTTCTATGCGAAATGAATCTCAGTATTGAAAAAATATAGACCACTCATAATTCGACTATGTCTCAACGACCTGTATCTTTTGAGAAAATTGACGGATTTTCATGCGAATTTCGATATCAGTTGTGATATTTCAATTCAAAGAAAGATGGAACACTGTGAAAAAGTCGACAGAACGAAACTTACACAGGGTGTGAAGTGGAACCAATACACTACATTTGCGATGTTGCCGGAAATCCAGGATTTTTTTTCTGATTAAAATTCAGTCATATTATGATATACTGGGACTGCATCTCATAGCGTTTTCGTGATTAATCTTTAATTCGCCATCGAAACAAAAATAATTATTTTTTTCAAGTCATGCATTTCATGAAACTTTTCTACAGAACTCCAATCGAACTGAATATTGGGATAGACTGATTCCATGTTTTCTGAAGGTCAATGAAAGAAGAATAAAGCACCATAGAAGAAGGGTGGAAGGAAAATAGGAAGATATTCCAGTAAAAAAATTAAAAACGGTGACTTATACCATGGCCCATTCTATTCATGATATTGAGTAACGACCTTCTTCCAATTTCTTCAAAAGATACAGTTAGTCGAAAACTTCAATCCATTCTGACTATTCCGAAACAACACTGACATTCATTATTTTTGAAAAAAAAAAAAAGAATAACCCTGTATGAGCTACTGGAAAGCGTTAGTGCAGCTGGTGAATATTTTATGTACTTACCTGTATTTGAACTTGGTATTGTGGAAATTAATTCTTTTTCTAGTTTTTGCATGTACAAAAGACTGAGGTCTGAAGCCAAATCAAAGCATTTTGACATCTCTTCTTGTTTCTCCAGCTTCTTGAATTTACTAGAAGCTGTATCATCTTTTTGTAGACAGAGGGCTTTGATTGCATATGACTCAGCAATAATTTTCAAACTTCTCCTGAAAATGGTATTGCAGATTGAACAATTTTACAAAATGAGGCATCCCTATGCTTTCTTCATATATTTTGTACATAATTTTGTCAGAACTACAATGGTATATAGAACATAGTAGGTACTGGCTTGATACGCTAAAAGTCATTTGAATCCTACTACCATCAGTAACACCTACTTTTGTTATTTTTTCAAAGTGATTAATTAATAACATAAATAACAAAACTATAGAGGCGTTTTCAGTGAGGCCGATAATGATTTCTTATTTCAATGATGGTTTTTTCTCAGGATCGAACTTACCGCCATATCAGCTAGATTGTGCATTTTTAATTTGTGACGCGCAAGTGAGTTAGTTGAATTTAGTGCGATATTTAGAAGGAAGATCACTTATTTAATCGACTTGAGGGACGTTATTGATGAGTTTCTTGATTGAAATAATATAGAATAACTATTTATTCTGTTTATTTATTTGGTACGTGAATTAATTATTTACTATTGGACGTTATTTATCACTCATGGATCGTTCTATAATTGATAGATGCAAAGTTTCATTCAACTAGAAAAATAATACACTGTGCCCAAGCTAAGGAGGGCCAGTATGGACATCTGGAAAATTATGAGAGATTCAGATTTGGATAAATGGGAGAAAAGTTGCCGGCGTGAAGGACCAACAAAATAAATTCAAAAAATTTTGTTTTTGAGTTATTTCTGAGACTGAAAATACATCTTCTTGGCAGCTTTTGATGCGTTTCAATCTGGCATCATCGATTTTCTTATTCAACGTTTCGTCTTTGAGCAACCGTCATCGACTTTTTCAAAAACGCCCCTGATATTTTGATATCAGATTTGAATAGCCCTTTTTATTCTGATTTCAACGATATATTACATATTGTGGTTTTGATGCGACATTTGTGGAGGTGCGAATGAAATAAGAATCAACATGTCATGAATTATTGAAATAGAAATGAGTTAATACATACAGAGGTAATTTTTTTTCTGTCAACTTTTGCAAGTCTGCCATTTGAAAATGTTTCAGCCCGTCCGAATATTGCCCACATGCATACTGTAATTTTCCTAGTAGTAAATGAGCATCCATTGCAACTCCTGCCTAAAAATATTTAGGTGAGCATCATAATTTCTCCAAATAAAAAAAAAAATGGATATTAAACAGGGTACTTGAAATGTTTCATAATATTTGATAATATTCAGATTCTACATCATTATATCATTTTTTTTTCGCATTTCTCGAAAATGGAAAATATCGGGATAATCGGAGGGAAAAATACCTATTGATGCTTATTGGCAATAAAATTACACTAAAACGTCGAGAAAAAGGAAGGAAAGGAATATGAAAAGTGACGAGATGATGTCATGTGAACGAAATTTGAGTTATAATATACCTTTCAATATGAGAAGAGGGTTTAGTAGTAAAATGAGATATGTTGATACTACTTGATGCAATAAAGTTCACATTCATCATGGCTAAGAGAGAAATATTGATATAGGTACAAGAAATAAATTATTATAAAATAAAATCTACCAAAAGAAAGAAAACAACATGGGAATTTATAAACAAAGGGGTCGGGAGAGAAATTCATTTCTCTGGGTTCGTTCCACTAATGGCTCGCAACGAATACAAAATCATCACTCAAATAACTTTCAATTTCATATTTTTTAAGAATATTTCGGTCGATTATTAGGTGCTAAAATCGTCAATAATGCCACGGTAATTTTCAAACGGCTAGAAATTTACCGCCAGTAAAAGCTTACACAGTTGCTATGTGTTGAAATACGATTGGAACTTCAGAAATATTAGCTATTCAATAATTCATTAATTCTCAATTGAGTATTGGTAATTTTCCTAATTAGCAATAAAAATTCAATTGTCTCAAAATGTTCCCTTATGATTTGTGGCTTATTGCTTATAATAAATTTGTGTAAATAATAATTATTAATTCACACTAGAGGACATTTGACTCGGTGAACGTGGCAACACCGCGCACGACTTGTGGTCGTGGTCTTGTCAGTTCTCGGCATTTAGCACAATGTTGTGATGTCTCCAACATTTACATGATATTTTGTTATGGAGAGAAATATTTGGACATGCTGGTTGCTCGAAAAAGTCAATAATGAGTTCCTCCTATTATGTATCATTCAACGACAGGAGTCAAACACCTTTTTGATAACTTGATTATAATTGGTGACTTGACAACCTTGCTTCATGAATGGAAATGGAAGATTATCTGACCAATAACGAAACAGCATAAAAACTTACGTCACCATTTATTCGACGTATCGCCAACGTTATGTTTGTAACGAGCTCTGGAATTCAACGATCTTGAAGGACGCATAGACTTATTATATACACAAAAAAATCGTGAGGACTGTTGCAAAAATTAATTTAGGTTCCACTCGCCCATTTTGCTATATTCTACTTTGCTGCACCATTTTAGTTGCGTACGAGCTATGTTGAGTCCAACAAACGTCATCTATAACGTCACCGTTTGTTATTTTTTGGTCATATTGCTAAAAGCATCAAGAAGGCAAGAAGCCCACAACGACCAATATCAACGGTGGGATTGTGTGGTTGTTCAGGTCTATTGAGTGTGAGTGCACAAAGTGGAATGACCGATTTGTAGTGATCCTTATCTCGCCATGATTTATACCAGCGTGTCGTAAACATTGCGCAAGTACAACAAAAATCATGAAAGTGAACATCAAATAATGATGATGACACAAAATAATCAACTTGAAACCTACACATTCGCATCCTTGCGACAAAAGTGTCACGACTCAAAAATCTTCTAATTTGAGTTAATACTACTAGCCGGTCCGAGACGTCTCAATCCATCAACCATCAAAATTATATCATGTCAGATTTCATGATGGCTCGTTTTTGACGATTCAGTACCGGTCGCATTTTTAGTTCAACCATGTTCAACTCTCGCCTTCGTACAGGAAAGATCTGGCAATTATTTTCAAAGCTGTTATACAGGGTGTTTCAAAAAAACCTGACCCCCTTACTAGGGTAGGTAGAACACTGCAAAATAAATTGGGTTTACTCGGTAAAAAATTTCGTAACGGCATCCGTTATCAAGATACAAGGTGTTGAAAAAATAATTTGTTTACACATTTTTCAAGATTATGTCGCCATTGTGATGAAATTATGCATGGATGTTTCTTGGCATCTGACACATCGCATGCATTTGTTTTTATATCTGACTCTCATAGAGGACGCTAGTTACAAGGTTCGCACCGAGTAGTTTTGAACATAACTTTTTTGGGGTTAGATTTTTCAATCAAAATTTGATGTGAACTTGAACATCATTCAATTCCACATCAAAAAGGTACTCTTGGTAAAACTCGATACTGTGTTCCGTTTTCGGAATATTTCGATTTGAAAATGATGAAGTGGTAACTGTTGCTGGTATAAAGATATGTATTAGAGTGAGTATTATGAAAAATTATCACCTATTTATTGAAAACAGAAAACAACAATACATTTCTGATGCTGAACTTATTGATTTAACGATGAATCATAAGAATAACATCGAAACAAATTTGACTAAGAACATGGAATTCACAGTTTTGTTGTATCTTGAGCAGAAAGTTTATGCTACATAGGTAAATTTACGTCAAGAGTTGTAAGACATAATTGAACATCACTCAAAGTACCTACTAGCTGATTCTCAACTGTTTAAAAGAATAATACATTATCAAGAAAAGAATATAGAATCGTGTATTCGTCGAATCGTAGGACATTTTGAACACTCACTCTAACTGATTTAATATTTCATGTTTATAGTCAAATATCTTAATTTTCTACTTATGATTCTTTGTTCCATCAATAACTTCAGTACAAGAATGATTTCATTGTTTTTGAATCTGGAAAAATAGGTAATTGAACTAAAATTCATTTTTGTACCAGCATCAGCTATTACTCCATTATTTTCAAATCGAAATATTCCGAAAATGGAACATTGTATCGAGTTTCACCAAGAGTACCTTTTTGGTGTAAAATTGAATGATGTTCAAGTTCATATCATATTTGGATTGAAAAATCTAACCTCAAAAAAGTTATGTTCTAAACTACTCGATATGAACCGTGTAACTAGCGCCCTCTATGAGAGTCAGATATAAAAACAAATTCATGCGATGTGTCAGATTTCAAGAAACACACATACAAAATTTCATTACAATGTTGCCAGTAGTTTCGACATAATTGTGAAAAATATGTAAAAAAATAATTTTTTCAACACCTTGTATCTTGAAAACGGATGCCGTTACGATATTTTTCCACTGAGCAAACCCAACTTATTTTGCAGTGTTCTACCTACCCTAGCAAGGCGGTCAGGTTTTTTTGAAACACCCTGTATTTTGAGTTATGCCGTTCCTGCTGATCCATGTGGAAATGTTTGATATGTAATATTTTGAGTTGGTACAATTTAATCGATCGATTCCGGTTTGCCATAAATGAATAATTAGATTTGTGTCATATTAAAGGATATAATATTGACAACAATACTACCAATAGATATAAAGGTTGAATGGAATGAAATAAAAGTTCTTAGCGTTGAGAAGGATTCTCCTCATAACTTTTTTTATACATCATTTGATGTTGATGAGTACATAGTATAGATCAATTGCCATGGTTGAGAGGGGAAGATCTAAAAAAAAATGAATTTTGAATCGATTCATCCAACCACAGCATTTATGTGAATAACTTATTGGGGGAAAACAAGATTAGAGAATGAACAAAAATTGTATACCAAGATATCTCGTTTCATAATCTCCTTTTATAAAAAAATTCTTTGTTGAAGTTGTTAATTGCTTTCACCAATTATTGTTGTTGACCTTCTTCATTCAGTTTGGATTTTTTAACCCAAATAGCGGTAAGTTAAGTGATCTCAGTAGGTACGAAAAACTAGTTATAGCATCTGAATGTTCCAAAAGTTACAATTTGTTGTCTATAGTAGAGGTCTAGTACCTCTACTTCCAGAAGCTAATAAAAAATCGATTTTTTCAAGGAACCTGAGCACCCTGTGTCTGGGAAATGAATGGTTTTCGGAGATATGTTTATATGAACTTTTTTCTTATTTTGACCCAAAAAATAGGACCTCGAAGTTTTGTGCAATATTAATGAAACATCCTGTATACATACTGTAAGTTTAATATGATTTTGGGTGATTTTCATTAGCAATATCCCTAGGACAATGATAGATGATAGACGAGATAACTTTATGACAATTGAGAAAGGACCCCGCACCGCATCAATGGGAAATTGGCTTTCGGTGAATTTACTCGAATTTTTGATATATTGTAGAACTCGTGGTGCTGATCAAATGTCTCCATTGCACCAACGCTCTAAAATCAACAGGTACGATTATATAGGGTGATAAAGTTGACTTTTCCAGAATTTTAGATAGAAATTGTGAAGACACCTTTCATAATTTCGAAACCAAATCAACTGTGCATTGATTGTTCGAATAACCGATACCAATTCACTATAAAGTATAATGATTTCTGCACGTACTAACAATATACAGGGTTGGTCGGAACCTAGCGAATAATTCAGTGATTTTCGGAAAAGTGTGCGGTGGAATTTCATTTAAATTCTGTAGTATACAAATATCATCCCCATTTAGTGATATTGGCATCTCCTAATCAAACATATTATATACAAGATGTTTTATTTTTGATAAAGTCACATCCATGTTAGATAACTATTATTGGCATCCTCAATATGACTTACAACTTGAACAACCTATTGGGAATCTTGTTCATTCTATGATGAATGTCCACTCTGCAAATCCGTGAAATATACGGAGTGGATGAAAAATCAATGGTCTTTGCTAATAACTTCTCAAAAGTAGTATGTGCAGATTCTTGTGACCCATTTTATTCACCCTGTTTAACGACATTATAATCAATAAAACTAATTTGAACCATTCAATGCAGTATATTTTTGATCGTTCTGCAGGTATCATAGTAGGTTTTTCAGGTGATATAGAAACAATCAACAATAGGAAACAAGAACAATGAATATACAATTATTATGGATAGGATAACAACATATCCTGATATTTAATCACGTTCTGTACCTTACATAGTGTATGAATTTTGTGTTATGACAAGCAATTATATTACCTCGATCACTAATTCATGAAACGAATTCGTTTCTTGAAATGAAATAGTTGAATTTATTCAACTTCTTGAACAGACTCCTGAATACAATTCATCACTAAAGTTAACATAACAGTTGAAACAAAATTGAAGTAGTAAACAATATATTATGAATGACTAATTTCATGTATTCGTTTTTACATTAGGTGTCATCATGTCAATGTCTTCCGGCATTGAATGCGATCCACAATTTATTGTTATTTCTTGGAATTACGGAAGCTTGAGTGAATTCTCATTCGTAAAAATCCATGAGTGTTCGTATTTGAATTGAAATTAATTTTCATCGTGATATCATACATCTTTCATATGAGATCGTGCCAATTTTACCTGTTAGGTTTTCTGCTTCTATTGTGGCTTACACCAAATTGACTCGGATAGCCTTTTCTAACATCAAATTGGCTAATTATACATTGGCGTCTCCTGAGTCAAACAGACATACATACAAAAATACATATAAACTATAAAGATGAACCCAACTATCCAAAATACATACCTAATGTAACAAACAATACTATCTGGCTGGTTTATAAGGTAGTATGAAAATCAACACGATGGCATAGTTATTATATTTGAAAAGTACTCCTGACTTTATAGCCGAGTTCATAACGTACTCAATAAAGATAGAAGCAGCTATATTAGTTTCAATAAACATATATATATATATAAATTATTCCAGATTTATTGGGAAATGCCACGAAATATCAATTGTGGATTGCATTCGATGCCGCTGCGGAAGACATTGACCAAATCAATATAGTGTTGATGACATTATATTTGGATATTATTGCACATGTAAAACTGGAGCAAGGACCCTTGGATGCTGTGCTCATGTGGCCAGTGTCATCTGGTACCTTGGCTACGCACGTTATGAACAAAACATAAAGTATCCATCAAATGCCCTTCTCATTCATATAGAAGACGCTGCACATCGAGATGATCGGGTTGATCACATGCTCTGACTCTATCACCAGTTGATCATTTCTTAATTATTTCCAGTTTCCGTCAACCAGTCAAAACTTTTTCTTTCATCAACGAATTTCATAATATCCATTTCTTCATTTATTAAGGTACATACATACAGTCGTATTCAATAAAAAAAGCGTACAAGTATTAAAAAGAGGGGATATCGGGATCCTAGTTCTAGTTGTGTAAAACTGGCTCAGCCAATGCTTTGTGTTTTTGAGAACCTATGACAACTTCACTGTCAACATTTGGTGAGAAATCATTCCCGATAGTCCGATTTATACAGAATAGGATGACGTTAATTTCTCTCTGTAATATACTTGTACCTATACGCTTTTTCTTTGAATGCGACTGTACGTAAGAGTGAATTTGCATGTCTTCTACCTATATCTTCCATTTTCTACATAATTCTGATGTTCATCTAACTCTTGTATCAATGAAGTGAATGAACAGAATTAATTGGTGAACTTATGGGTACCAATACAAACTATGAAATGAATACATGGAATTAATCATTGATTATTAACAGTTTACTACTATTATTTCTGCTTGAGGGTTAAGGTATTCTCGAATTGAGTATGACGAGTTGTATTCTGGGAACTGTTCAAGAAGTTGAATAAATTCAACTACTTCATTTCGAGAAACGAATTCGTTTTATAAAATAGTTATCGAAGAAATATAATTGCTTGTCATAACACGAAATTCATACACAACAGAACTTCTGTTGTGATTAAATATCAGTATATGTTGTTATCCTATCCATAATAATTGTATATTCATTGTTCTTGTTTCCTATTGTTGATTGTTTCTATATCACCTGAAAAACCTACTATGATACCTGCAGAACGATCAAAAATATACTGCATCGAATGGTTCAAATTAGTTTTATTGATTATAATGTCGTTAAACAGGGTGAATAAAATGGGTCACAAGAATCTGCACATACTACTTTTGAGAAGTTATTAGCAAAGACCATTGATTTTTCATCCACTCCGTATATTTCACGGATTTGCAGAGTGGACATTCATCATAGAATGAACAAGATTCCCAATAGGTTGTTCAAGTTGTAAGTCATATTGAGGATGCCAATAATATTTATCTAACATGGATGTGACTTTATCAAAAATAAAACATCTTGTATATAATATGTTTGATTAGGAGATGCCAATATCACGAAATGGGGATGATATTTGTATACTACAGAATTTAAATGAAATTCCACCGCACACTTTTCCGAAAATCACTGAATTATTCGCTAGGTTCCGACCAACCCTGTATATTGTTAGTACGTGCAGGAATCATTATACTTTATAGTAGATTGGTATCGGTTATTCGAACAATCAATGCACAGTTGATTTGGTTTCGAAATTATGAAAGGTGTCTTCACAATTTCTATCTAAAATTCTGGAAAAGTCAACTTTATCACCCTATATAATCGTACCTGTTGATTTTAGAGCGTTGGTGCAATGGAGACATTCGATCAGCACCACGAGTTCTACAATATATCAAAAATTCGAGTAAATTCACCGAAAGCCAATTTCCCATTGATGCGGTGCGGGGTCCTTTGTCATAAAATTATGAGGCACTTGTCAATGTCCAAGGGATATTCGGCAGAAAATAATTTGAAGTTGTCACAGTCGATCCTGTTGTCATAGTGATTGATAGTTGCACTGAATACAGTTCTCAGTATTTATTTTCAATTATATTGGCACATAAAAAATATTTAGTGCAGTCTATACCTGTCAAAAACAAAAAACCCAACTTCTCATTTGAAGGCAGTAGACCTTGATTAGGAAATAATTTTCATATGCAGTGCATTTTTGGCTCATTACTCTACCATAGAGTTTATTGTACAAAAATTATAAAGTCTGCCCCTTCCTCCTGATTTTTTTTTGTTGACAACTTCTATAATATATCAAGATATGGAATATACTTGAAAAACTTTTTGAAAAGTAATAGAGGAACCTACCAAAAGAGTTAACATTCTAGTTATAAACCATGTTCAATGGGATGAACACAAAGCATCATCAAAGCCTGCATAAAAATATATAACATTTAAATGTGATAGTAATAACAAACCTTTATCCCTGCTTCTGTTATCACTAAATTGAGATATCGTTTTGCATCTATTAACCCAAGTTTAGCTCGATTCATGTTTATTTCTAAGGGAGGCCATTCCTCCAAAAAGTTTTCTAACTTCCCTTCACCAATTAGGAAGTCTGAAAGGCATACTGAAAGAATGGAAAAACAGTGTAATGTGTCTACCGTCTTTTATAACTGAGATACAGGATGTTATCTTGATTTTGGCAAAATCTTCAGCTGGTCATAATTTTTTAACCACTTTGTATAATCTATTAATTTTTGGTAGAAATATTCCACCATTATAACCCATCAAGACTGAATAAAATTCCAGATCAGAATCCAGGTCCGTCTTAAGGGAAAACAGAAAATTCCTTTAATTGCAAAAACAATACTCTATAATGCAAAATTGTGTAGATTTGTTTTGATATTTGAAAAGAGCGGGAAACAATGAATGAAGTTACCTACTTTTTTCAAGGGTACATCCAATTAGAGAGATGTTTTATAAGTATTTTTGGAAATATTCAGCTCCATATTGAGGTATTTCTATTGAACCTGAAATTCAAAATCCAATTTTGATACAAAAAATATCAATCTTCAAACTTCAACATCATTATAATCAAATTAGGTGAACAATGGATAGATTTGTTCATTGGAAAGAATATATTGTCAATGATTTCAGAAAATTGTGATGACTCATTTTATTCTTCACTACTATTTATTCATAAACTGTGGTAAAGTAAGCTGTGCAAAAAAAATAAAAATTCTGACAGTTCATCATCACTAGTGTAATATTGGCAACATCAAGATAATTGTTGGTGCTTGTATTGTGTTGTTACATTTCAAAGATCCTCAATGTTAACCTTAAGCAATACTCACCAATAATATCACACTAGTGATTATAAACTGTCAAAATGTTAGAATTTTTTGCACATCCTACTTTACCACAGTTTATGAATCAATAGTGGAGAATAAACTCAGCTCTTGCAAATTTTTAAAATCATAGACAAGTTATTCTGTCAAAATGAATATAGTTCACCTAATTTGACTCTGATGATGTTGTACTTTGAAAACTGTATTTTTTTTGTGATAAAACAAAAATTTGAACCAGGAGTTCAATGAAAATGCCTCAAAATGGAGCTGAATATTTCAAAAAATAATAATGAAACATCTGTCAAATTGGATGCACACTGGCGAATAGTAGGTCCCTCCCAAGGGGGAGAACAGAAATTATGTACACCTATTGCCATTATTGGCATTGAATGCTAGTTCATTGCTGCTGTAATGCAGATATATTTCTGATATTGCCAACCATTGCCAACTAATACCAAAATGTTGAAAATGATTATCATGTCCCTTAACAATTCTAGACATATACAGTGAGGACGTAAAAAGTCCTCCCCCCCCTTAACTTTTGAACTGAACAAGCTATCGAGGTCGGGTAAAATTCAGGTAAAAAGGTACTACTTTTACTACTTTTTGGCATAAAAATGATTGTGGTCACGTGGCCTAGTGTCAAGAGGGTACCATCAACTTTCTTTTTCAAATGTAAAAGGGGGTCACGTGGCACCTGGTTTTAAAGGCCTTCCGATTCTCTATCCAACACCGCTGTGTTTGTGAAAATCGACCAAGCCGTTTCAAACTGACAAGCTATTGAAATTTGCTTCAAAAATTTCACAAAAAATTATTTCAACTATTAATTGCAGCAGAATTTCAACTCCGTCACTGATTATGGTCGAAGAGTCAATTTTTTGTGGTAAGACAGGTGCGCATATTATTGGTATTTTAAAATGTGGTTTTTGTTCCAGTTTTTTTTACCTTATTTATTTTGCTGGAGACTCCAAATATCATTTCATTTCAATGCCACTCTAATATTGACGTTAATCATATCGATACTTTTGACAGTTCTCATAGGTTCAAGCTTGTTTTTATAATTTTCAAATGCCTCGTCAGTTTGAAACGGCTTGGTCGATTTTCACAAACACAGCGTTGGTCGATAGAGAATCGGAAGGCCTTCAAAACCAGGTGCCACGTGACCCCCTTTTACATTTGAAAAAAAAAAGTTGATGGTACCCTCTTGACACTAGGCCACGTGACCACAATCATTTTTATGCCAAAAAGTAGTAAAAGTAGTACCTTTTTACCTGAATTTTACCCGACCTCCATAGCTTCTTCCGTTCAAAAGATAAGGGGGGGGGGAGGACTTTTTACGTCCTCACTGTATGTTATATCCTTTGAAAATACCATAATACTAATTTATCTCTGTGTGTTTCTTAAAATTTGCGAAGAGTAACTAAAATAGCCCAAACCCAAACTACTGATTCCACAATTTCAATATCCATATTATCCAGCATACATAAATCAAAATGTTATGTAGCAATGTTTTGTTAAGAAAAACAAATATATGAATTCCCTTCAAATACTAGTTTGAAATATATTTTTATAATTGCACTGCCTATCTTTTTATTATATCCAGACAGGGTCCAGGCAGGTCATCAAAGCTGGTGTATGTATACTCTCTAAATTACCACTGCTTTGGAATTCTAGGCCAATGGAAGTATTCCCAAGAACTTATAACTTCCAATGGTAAAAAAAATTCCAACCCATTCCTCCTCCCCCTATCCTCCCTAGGTAGGCATGATGTTCTTGGACTATTTCTGACATATTGTGGCATTTTTCATATCTATTGCCCTCTATTGCCTAATAATTCCAACTTAATGCAGCTTATTTCAGCATTTCTTCTTCAATGCTGACTATTACCATTTAGTGCTGATTATTTTCCAATAATGCTGATAATGCCTATCATGCCACAAGTATTGCCATTCATTTACAAATATTTTGTACACCTATGGTCTCTCCATTCATTTGTTCCCACTGTTTTGAAATACCAAAACAGATCAACAGAATTTTGCCATACAGTGTTGTTCTTGAAATAAAAGAGGATTCATGTTTTTCCTTGATCAGTTTTGATGGGTAGTAAGAGTGGAATATTTCTACAAAGTATTAAAAGATTATACAAAGTGGTTCAGAAATTACAACCAGATGGAGATTTTGTGAAAATCCTGTTTTGAAAAGACAGTAGACACATTAATGGGGGGTAATTTGAAATCATCAAAGTGTCCTCTATCTACAGGTATTGTATGTACATTTAAATCTGAAACACTTTGTATATAAGTATATGATAGCCAAGGTATCATAGCCTCACTCACACAGTCACACATACAGTCATAGCTTAGGATCAACAAACTTACAGAAATCTGGTGATTTTTCTTTCAATTGCTCTGCAAGTTCTATAACTTTCAACCAGTTGGACTCTTCTCTGTTTCTCTCTATTTCAACCTCAATCCTGCTTGCTCCGGATTTTATTCGGCTGGTCATTTTGAAACCAATATGATCAATCAACTTATGAGTAATTACTTCCTTTTAAGGAGTTTGAAATTCAACCAAATAATTATGGGTCAGGGTCACCTCACACCAAATATTGGATATTTGCTGCTTTCTTATTGCTTCTCCGATTTAACTCCACATACCATTCCGTTTACAGTCATTAGAGTTTGGAATGATGTTACAATTTACAATAATTGTTTCATCCTTTTTTTCAAATTTTTTTAAATATTGACATTTGCTAATATGAATTTTTTGGTTGAGTTCTTCTTTCTTCTAGTTTTTCTCCAACTTCTCATTATTTTTATTTCTCAGTTGCCGAACATATAAATTTCTTCTTCTCTTTATACATGCGAACATGTGTTCCACAACTTCCGCAACCGTAAGGTCTCTTCTGTAGAGGTCGGTAAGTATCGATACTAAACCCGGGTGCACATTGAGACGCAGGCAACACAGGTGTCGCAGGGCAGAACAGGTATTCACAAGCATTACAGCACAGGAAAACTGCATACATGTTTTCACTGGACATGTGGCTCAGTTCACATTGGAAGGCAGCTTATCGCAAACTGCTTCTAATTTCTAATATTTTTGTTCTCGTGGTGCTGTCCTGCGCTGCGTCACCTGTGTTGCCTGCGTCCCAATATGCGCCCGGGCTAAGTATATATGTATATCGATTCCAAGACGAGTATCGAAGTACCGATACATTTTCATCTGGTATCGATACTGAACAATACTGACAGAACAGTAAGGTAATATGAGGAATTAAAATATCTCTCCTGCATGAAAAAAGGAAGTACTTTCAACCTAGCTTGTCCTAAATGTACGAAAGCGTAGAAGGGTCATCAAAAATAAAAGAATAAAAAGAATTATTGCAACTTGTAACGTGCAGCAATTCAATTACTGCAACTTACAACTCGCAATAATTCAAAATACTGCAACATACAACTTGCAGTAATTGAATTACTGCAACTTACAACCTGCAGTAATTTGATTCACTGCAACATATAACTAGCAGTAATTCGAAATAATGCAACATACAACTAGCAGTAATTTAAATCACTGCAACTTACAACTTGCAGTAATTAAAGCACAAAACAGGTTGAGAAGAAGATTAACTGAGGTTAACTCATAGATCAACTACTCTGTGAACTTAAATACCAGCTAGATTCCATTGTGTTACAGCGCCTCGCCCTCTAGATCACTAGGTTTACTATGTAGTACCGCTCTTTGTCGCCAGTTGGAGCCACAAATTTTAAAGGATTGACGTGTCAATCAAGAAAGGAAAATGTTTTATGCCCGTGTTCCGTGTCGCATCTCTCGTGTTCTGTGCTTCTGTCGTTATTACGCTTTTTTGTGCGCTAAGTAATGGACGCTATTACTAGTTTTTTCCTGAAAAAACTGTGAAATATCTGTGTTAAATATGCCCAAATCATCGAAAAGAAGCCGCGAACGTTCTCCGCTCAACAGCAGAGAAGTAAAACGATCGCGCCGTGAATTATTACTCGACCTAGAACGAGAAATTGCCGATATGAAGAAGAAGATGGAACAGGAGAGTCGCCGCCATTTGCAACGCTCAAGTCCAAGTTATGATCATGTCGATCATGAAGATGAAAGGTACCGAAGTGACACAAACCATGAGAGACCCCCATCCAAAAGATATTCGGAAAAATCATATGGACAGTCTCGTACCAGTTCTCCAGGCGACTCTCGAGGTGACCGTAAAAAGAAGTCATATACTTCTCCAAGGTCAGGTGTCCACAGTGGGTCACGTGCCCAGGACATGTCCCCAAGGTCTGACGTCCCAAACGGGTTACGAGCCCAGGACTATGTTACGAAGGACCGAACACATTGTCAACAGATCTCCAATACAAAAAGGCTACATGCCCAGGAGTCTGATTCACCGTCCCAACACAGAAGACCAAGTGTTGATTCAGATTCACAGATACTAGATGTTTCAGATGAGGATAATGAACCCTTGTTGAACAATGAACATCTTGGATTGGGTTCTCCTCTCTCACAACCTGGCGATCAGGAAAGTCAGGTTGATGATGATGAAATTCTAGAATTGCTAGGAGAGAAAAAAGATACCCTAAAAACCTTTGAATTACATCCAATTATATGTAATAGGTGGAAAACTATAATTAGTAAGGGGTTAGGAAAAGATGAGAGATCAAAACTCATAGAAAAATATGGACCTCCCTCTAACTTACCAACACTCATAGCACCCAAAGTTAACGAAGAAATTGTAACTGCTATTCCAGAGATGATTATCAAAAAGGATAGTTTTCACATCAACAGACAAAACCAATTAGGACGAGGAATTGCTGCACTGGGTATGACCCTTAACTTGATATTGAAAACACAAAATCAAACTAATAATTCTGAATCTCAGAAACAGGCCATAAGAGAACTAAGTGAGGCAGGAAAAATCCTTGCTGATTTGCATTATAGAATGTCTCTTACGAGGAGAGCTATAATAATTCCACATCTAAATAAAACTGTTAAAGCACTCACTAGTGCATCAGCTGTTGGTGAACACCTATTTGACTCTGACCTGGGAGAAAAAATTAAAGCAGCCAGAGCAGTAGAAAAGTCCAGTAGAGATTTCAAGAAGCCATATACAGTAAATAATATGCCTACAAATGTAGGACCTAAAAGTAAAGTAATCACACATTCTTTAAACTTCCGAGGCCCGTCGAGGTTCAGGAGGGATCATCGACAGGAGGGCCAGAGACCTCTGCAGAGAAGGAGTCAACAGCAGAGCAGGTTTCGATCCTAAAGGTAGGAAAAATTGCAGGTGGACTCAGGAAACATTTTGGGATGTGGAAGGATATAGGTGCTACGAGCACAGTCCTGAATTATATTAAAGGTTATAAAATTCCCTTCTTGAAAAAACCTAAATCTACATGCTACATGCCAAAAGACAAGAAGAAAGACAAATCTTTAATTCTGGCAATAACTGATTTAGTTAGCTTAGGAGCAGTAAAAAAGTGTATTGGAATGAAAGATCAATTTTTGTCTCACTATTTCTTGGTAAATAAGCCAAATGGTAAAAAACGTTTCATTCTTAACCTCAAAAAATTGAATAAATTTATTAATCCCCCACATTTTAAAATGGAGGACACCAGAACTGTTATGAAACTTATTCAAAACGAATCATACATGGCAACTATAGATCTTAAGGATGCCTATTTTTCAATTCCAATTGATAGGGACTATAGAAAATATTTAAGATTCAAGTTTAACCATACCCTTTATGAATTCACAGCCTTACCATTTGGCCTCTCCTCAGCACCATATGTTTTTACTAAAGTGATGAGGCCAGTCTTAGCTAAACTTAGACAGAAAGACATTTCCTGTGTGTCATATTTGGATGATATTTGGATAACTTCAGAAACCTCAGAAAAATGCAAGGAAGCAGTTCACTGTACGGTTATGCTTTTGAGTTCTTTAGGCTTTACTATCAATGAAGACAAGAGTCAACTCAATCCAGCACAAAGATGTACATTTCTGGGTTTCATATTTGATTCAGTAGAAATGACTTTGGAACTTACACAAGAAAAAAGAACAAAAATTTATAACTCAATTCTTAGAATTCAGTCAAAGAAATATGTAAAAATTAGGGAATTTGCACAATTCATAGGATTAATTGTATCAGCTTGCCCTGCTGTACAATATGGTAAAGTTTATACAAAAACTTTAGAAAGAGAGAAGTATTTGGCCTTGAAACAATCTAACCAGAATTATAACTGTGCTATGAAAATAACCGAGTCTATCAAAGGTGACTTAGAATGGTGGAAAAAATCAGTTTTGATTTCCAAAAATAAAATAATTAAAGACCATTTTGATATTGAAATATTTTCAGATGCTTCAAAAACAGGGTGGGGGGTATATTGTCAAGGGCAAAACACCTATGGTTGGTGGAAATTATCTGAAATCACTCACCATATAAACTACTTAGAGCTAAAAGCTATATTTTATGCTTTGAAATGTTATGCCAAAGATCTGAGATCCTGCAATATACTGTTGAGAGTAGATAATACTACAGCTTTGAGTTACATTAATAAAATGGGTAGTGTTCAAAACGTAAAACTCAATAGCCTCTCCAAAAAGATTTGGCAGTGGTGTGAGGATCGAGATCTATGGCTCCATGCTTCATATGTTCAGTCAAAAGAAAACAAAGCTGATGAGAGTTCTAGAAAAATATCTACTGAGACTGAATGGGAACTATCAGAGGATGCCTATAGTAATATTATTGTTCATCTTGGTAAACCTGATATTGATTTATTTGCCTCAAAAGTCAATGCAAAATGCAAAAAATACTTATCATGGCATCCAGACCCTGATTCTTGGGCGGTTGACGCCTTCACTGTCTCCTGGAAAAAATTTAATTTTTATGCATTTCCACCCTTCTCCTTGGTTTTGCGTACACTCAACAAAATTATTTCAGACAAGGTTGACGGTATTGTGGTTGTACCTTACTGGCCTACACAACCATGGTACCCTTTATTTAAGAAACTTTTAATATCAGAATTGGTTTATTTGGGACCAAAAATTGACTTATTATCTTCTCCTTTCAGTTCATCACACCCAATGAGTCACTCCCTTATCCTGGTTGCCGGCAAATTGTCAGGGAGGCTTTCTTAAGCAAAGGATACCCAGAAGAAACAGTCGAAACATCATTAGAATCTCTATCAGCAGCTACCATGAAGCAGTACAACACGACCTTCAACTTATGGTGGCTATTTTGTTGCAGAAACAAAATTAGTCCTTATAATGCAGGAGTTTCAGATGTGTTGATTTTCTTACAAGAACAATTAGATTCAAAAAACTACTCCTATGGTATGTTTAACCAACACCGGTCTGCTCTTGCACTCATCTTACCTGGTGAAATTGGACAAAATATTCAGATAAGACGTTTCTTAAGAGGAGTACGAAGGTCACGTCCACCTAAACCCAAATACCACATCACTTGGGATCCTCAAATAGTTTTAAGGTATATAGATTCCATGGGTCCTAACCAAAGTTTGGACATATTGAATCTATCGAAAAAACTTGCTACTTTGATAGCACTGGCATCTGGTCAGAGAATTCAAACAATCCATTTAATGAACATTCAAAACATAATTTTTGATAGAGAGGGGTCTCA